TCCCAGCCGCAGGCGCTGGGGCTGAGCCCGAGCTGGCGGCTGACGGGCTTCTCCGGCCTCAAGGGCTGAGGCTGCAAGGTCCCCCAGGAGACGCTGCTCAAACTCCTGGCGGGACTGACGCGGCCGGACGAGCGGCCCCCGCCGGGCCGGGGCCTGGCCGGAGGCCATGAGGAGGTGGCCCAGGAGGCCGGCCTGCAGGTCCTGGCGGAGCCCAGCCCCAGCTGGCCGGCCCTGGGCATCGGGATGGACTCCTGCGTGATCCCCCTGAGGCACGGAGGCCTGTCGCTGGTGCAGACCACGGACTTCTTCTACCCGCTGGTGGACGACCCCTACATGATGGGGCGCATCGCCTGCGCCAACGTGCTGAGCGACCTGTACGCCATGGGCATCACCGAGTGCGACAACATGCTCATGCTGCTGAGCGTGAGCCAGAGCATGACGGAGGAGGAGCGGGAGAAGGTCACCCCGCTCCTGGTCAGGGGCTTTCGGGATGCTGCCGAGGAAGGCGGGACGGCGGTGACTGGCGGACAGACTGTGGTAAACCCTTGGGTCATCGTGGGTGGGGTGGCCACGGTGGTGTGTCAGCCCAACGAGTTCATCATGCCCGACAGTGCCGTGGTCGGGGACGTGCTGGTGTTAACCAAACCCTTAGGGACCCAGGTGGCCGTCAATGCCCACCAGTGGCTGGATAACCCTGAAAGGTGGAATAAGATCAAGATGGTGGTCTCCAGAGAAGAGGTGGAGCTGGCCTATCAGGAAGCCATGTTCAATATGGCCACCCTGAACAGAACTGCCGCAGGGTTGATGCACACATTTAATGCCCATGCAGCCACGGATATCACAGGCTTTGGCATTCTGGGGCACGCTCAGAATCTTGCCAAACAACAAAGAAACGAGGTGTCCTTTGTCATCCACAACCTGCCCATCATTGCCAAGATGGCCGCCATCAGCAAGGCCAGTGGGCGCTTTGGGCTCCTTCAGGGAACCTCGGCAGAAACTTCTGGGGGG